CCCATTTAAATCATAATATTGTATTAGTTTGTCATACAAGGTTTCAGTCACTGTAAAATTCTTCACATCAAATTGGGCAAAATTATGACTAGGCTCTGCTTCAGTTATCAATTGGGTATATTTAGTACACAAGGAGTGGCCTAATTCACTACAGAAAGTATATATATATGATAAACAATAATTCATTTGCATTATGAAGCTAATAAACACCAGTTAAATGTATGTCATGCTACATCGCACTGAGAGCACGACTTGACCTTATTAATACACTATATTGAAGTTTATACTTTAAAAACTTGAAGCGGGAACAAATAGTCTAAATTTAACACGGTTGTACACCGTTTGCCTCTCAACAACTGACATTACAATTCATGTACACAAACCAATTGGGGCTCAATCATAAACACACATTACTAACAGCATACTACACTAGGCTAAAGAAAGATGTCTTACCGTTACAATTAAATTTCGTGGGTCGTTTTGAGAGCAGTTGTCTTTGTTTGCTTTTGGAGCTTTCGTTGTCTTTTTTGCTCGACTTTCTCGCCACCTTTGATGTAATACTGGTAAAAGATTGTCCTGACGATAATGTTCTCCTAGACCGTTATAATTTTCGTATCCCCCTGCTCGGCCGAAATGGTGACGACGGTAGTTCTCGATTCTTTTTCTCAGCCGATCTACAACGTCGCGCCTTTTGGGGGAAAGAAAATCCCCCATGCTACCACCATGCACACAATTATAGCCTGACCTCCCCCTGATGAGAGGTTTTCTTATCTCATCTAAGGAGCTTGTTTTAAAGCAGGGGACATAAGCCCCTTTACTAAACGTTTCGCGGACAATGACATCTTTTATAAATAGACTGCCTTATGAAAACAACAAACTTCCTTTACTGATATTCGTCAGTTACTATCCTAAATTCACCGTTATCAGAAAATAACACAGTGTATGCAGTTAATAATCCAGAGTTAGACGTTAGGTTATATCCAACATAGTGTTTACATCCGTTAGATTACAGTTGTTCATGTTTCCATGTCGAAGTACAGTGAATATACAATGCTTTATAACAATCTCTATACAGTATTGAAGCAACCAACTGATATTTCATGGCACGCTTACTGATACGGACGAGTCCAATGTCACGCCAGGGGGTACTGGAGTACAGTATTGATGTCTCGTTGTGTGTTTAAGATCCGATTTCTCGCACTGGGAACTCGGCTGCTAACGTTAAATTTATGCACCGAGTCGAAAATCTCTAAAATTGCGTGATAGTATCAAGTAAACGGTGTTTACAAGCGCTAGAGCTCAGTAACTTATGGTCCAATTATAATTTGGCGATAATATCAAGAAGCACTTAACAATTAAAAGTTGATATAAGACTGGGAGATAAGATTGTGTATAATAACGGTATATCATATGAGCGTTATTGTGTAGGTGCTATAGATATTGATGATGTGATTGTGTAGTCGTTAACGGAGTGTACAAGTTGATATTTCTATTGACTTTAACTATACCTACGTCATCTTATTGAGGGGGTGTCTGCATAACATGGCCTTTTCCTGTCCTTACTTCCTGACGTCATTTGCAACGGACGAATGTACTACGATCTACATTCCTTTATATATTAGACTTGATTAATATGTAGCTTCTATAAATCATAATAATTGCCTCCTCATAAATAGCTACTTCAAAGAAAAATCCATAATATTTCGACAAATCTAGCGACTATAATAATATTTTATACTTCTCCGACAGAATTAAGAATTATAACTCCAGCCACATGAAATATTTGATTTTTGTCTGAGGAGAGAGCTTCTTGATTTGTGGAAGTTAATTGAATGAAAATAGCTAATGATATTTATCAATAGTCTTTTAATCGATCCAAGATCCGTACGACGTAACAAAATATTGATGTTTTAAACGAAAATTGATATCTATAGTAATAATTGATATATTAAATGATAATTTATATTTTGAGAATGACAATATTTGATAAGTGATATTTTGAAAATGACAATATTTGACATGTGATATTTTTTAAATAACGATATTTGATAAGTAATATTTTGAAAATGACTATATTTGACAAGTGATATTTTTTAAATGACGATATTTGATAGTGATATTTTGAAAATGACGATATTTGATTTTGGATATTTAAAATGACAATTTTTGGATATTTTGAAAACCATACTAAATGCAGGTAGGCCTATTTGGAAAATTAGAAATAGTAAAACAAAACCTAAAAAGGAATTGGAGAGATTTGGGAAATTACATAACTGATATTTTGAAAAAGCAGTTGGTATTTTCTTTATAAATCATTAAGTGTACTTCGAAAATGACAATATTATTAATATTTTGAATTTTTTTTTATCTGGCTTAAAATTAAACGAAAAATATATTTGTAAATTGGAGAATACTTCACGTATGACTGTGGTCAACAAAGTATCTATACTAAATATATATGTATATGCCTACACTTATTCAATAGTTCACTCATATTCTGTTAGAGACAGACGAATCCTATGTTACATTCAGACAAAGTCATTTCAAATTTTACAGAGCTATTATGCTTATTTGAATTGTGACGGAAGGGAGATAACCAGATTTTTCAAACCTATTGATGTTTGAAATTACATAAGGCTATGCCTATTTGATTAAAAAATTATTTCTTGATCAGGAAACCGGACTTTTTTTTAGGCCATCCTGCATCAGCTCTAGGCAGATCATTTCAACCTATGCCTAGTTGGTAGCGAATAGGCCTATTAGGCAATTAGGTGCCTTAAGTTTGAATCCTCTTCAATATTAGAACAATTCCTGTTCCATTGCCAGTGCTTATGAGAATTGGCCTAGTGTCGGCCTAAAATCAATTTATTACAGTAACCATGCATGTATTTTTCGCTATTCATATAGACGATCTCCCAATCCAACTACCAACTACTATGACAACCAACAACTACCTAGTTTGCGATATCAGCATCCACTGGAAGCGAACGTTAACTTGTCATCTACCAACCAACCATCAGAGGATCTCTTGGCATTTATTCATGCACCTTTTATAGGCTTGTTTGAAAGCTCTCTTCAGAAGAGCTTTGCAAGAAATAAGATTAAAGGAAGAAAGAAAGATAGTGAAGGAGAAGGAATATCGATCATTCTGGGTTGTCAAACAGTCGACATTGTGATTTCTTCCCCCTACCATTAATACTTGATATCGGGAAAGAATTTGACAAGTTAATCGCTAGTTCCCTTGTAAACTGATTGGTAAAGAACCACGAGTAGACGATACAATCAGATTCAAGTTTCAATCCCTTTCTTTACCGGCATTTTATCTGATATATTTCCTATTGATTTCTCTTGTAACTTTAATTTAATGCATGTCAAGTTTTTGCAGGCTCTTCACCATTTTTTTTTGTTAAATTCTGCAAATAAACCTAACGCATTGGCAGTGTCGGAAATATCTTGAGAAACAATTTAATCTGATTTAATCGGAACTGAGTAGGCCTTAAATAGGCTAATATTAACTTAAGGAAAGGACGGTGAATTTGGAATGCCTTTTCCCGTACGAGTTAGTCTAAAAAAAATTACCTCCCTCTGTTTTATTCCATATGCATGTACTCAGGCTGTTTTGATTTTGAGCACAGAATACAGCCAAAGTCTATGTATGACTATAGCCTAAGTTTGTCATCATTGTGATAAGTTTTGTAGGCCTACATCATTTCAATTTTGGAACTCTGGTATTAACATTTTATTCAATTTCGATATCCGGTATTCCTTTGTGAAACTGCTTCTCAAATAAAATCAGACTCCATAGACACACTGTGTCCTTTTTAAGATATATTTATTGTGCATCACCATAGAGGAGTATACAGTTCTATGGCACCACTAAAGAGGAAAATTACTGCGCCTACTAGGCTGAGCATCTTTAATCAGCCGGAAGTGGATTATTCCATAATGTCAAATTTTTATTGGCTGCTATATTTAGTCATTAAACAAGATGGCGACCTCCATTCGATCTAGAATTTTCACAAACAAGAACTATTTAACGAAATTGTTTCAGCAATATCGACTAAAATCTACTTTGGCTCCAATATACAGATTGTCTAATAGCTACTCCAATCGCCTAACGGATTATGGTAATGTTTGCTTCGTTTTTACCACGAGTAAAGTACATTGAATTGCGTCATGAAATTGAACATGTGAAATCGGGTATAAAACGAAAGTAGAAACAGTAGAAGGATGTCACATACTGATAAGGACTCAAGGTGCCATATTGACTTCAAACATCACTTATGTTTGAGACTAGTTTGTGGCTTGTGAATTTCAAATATGCATTTTACATTAGTCATTTGATTACAGTTTGAGAAATTGATTAACCTTTACAGTAGAAAGCTCAATTTCAAGATATGTATTAGTTATATTAAAGGGATAGAAGCAGCATTTTGTGGGGTTGATTTTAGTCTTGAATATATGTAGATAGTTTTCAGAAGTATTAGACATGTATGAAAATCGCATGATTCCTTTAAAAATACTTCAAATGAGGAATTTTACTCAATATTTCTATTTATGTTTTAATGACAAATCGTCATTTTAACAGTCAAATGTGGACAATTCTGGACACACATGGATTTGACAGCTATAGACACTATTACTGATTGGCTTAGTTAAAAAAAAAGTCCTGTTTTTGAGACTAAATTATGATTGTCCCTCTAAGTAATAATTTGAAAATATAAGCTTGGAATTGAGCAAAATCATGGCCATATAATGAAACCTTTCAAATGCATGTTTGCCATAACATGATGTTAGTGGTCATAACTGCTTGTGAGAATGTTAAGCCTGTTGCAGACGGAATGAACTAGCATTGCTGCCTGCCTCAAGAGGTAGAAAAAGAGCTTGAAAAAGTAACCAACCAATAGAAATGTGTTGACGGATCATGTGATATCAACATGACAACAATCAATGACCTGGCTGATGAATGATGCAATTTCAGAAGATTAACTTGGTAGACAATGGCAAGAATGCCTGTGTGTCTATATGCTGATAATTCTACAGAATTCCAAGAAAAGGAACATGATGCAATTTTAATCAGTCACCGATGCTTTCTTCGCTTGTTTTCGTTGTCATATGAAATTGGTCAAAGGTTTCTTAGTGAGGCCATAGCTCAGACGGTACCTCTCGTCTGCGGTGGAAGAAGTATTAAGAATGTTGCTTTGCTGACAGCCTCTCACGACAAGCAGCTCAGCTAGTTCCTCACGTCTGCAGCAGGCTTCAAACATGGTCTAGAAGCCTGAATAGTTATTGTTAAATTGCAGAAAAGCAATTTTTATTTTTGAAGTGCTGTGGATATCTGAAATTTAGCTCAATCAGCTAAAGCAAAGATTAAAATGACTACATCCATTTATACGTGCTAATAAAAAAGGTCTTTTTTTTTCAGAAAAGAGTAGAATAGTAAGTTCCAGACAGTTTAGTAGTAGAGTTTATAGTACTGGTAATCAATCTGAGGCCAGTGCTAGTAGTACTATACCTCCAGAAGAACAACCTATCACTGGAGAACCTGTCACAGATGCAGAAGCAGAAGAGTATCATTCTATTATTAAAGATGATGAAAGAGCTAAAGGTTAGTCAATTTCAATTTTTCTGAAACTAGTACATGTACCAATATTTATTTCCAAATGAATTAGATCTTTTAAAGACTTATTTACAAGATGTGCTATTATGGTTTCAAAAATAGGAAAACTTTTTGTCAATAAAATAAATGAAACAAATACCCCTTTTACACTCGGCTCCGATAAAGTGGCTTACAACATCCGTATCGGCGGCCATTATAAATCTACTATTTGACTCCTCGTGGACCTTTTGTAATCTTTTTAATTAGAGAGCGCACACTTATTTCCGTTTAAAGTGGGTCTGGCCCAGATCACAGAACGCCAGCGTAAACAGACCTTTTGATTGGAGCCAGGCACCGATCCGGGCCAGACTCTCTCTATCGGGGCCTAGTGTAAAAGGGGTATTAGCGAATGTTTTTCTGATCTATATTATGTTTAAGATAAATCAATATACTTGAGCAGTTTTGTAGTCAACATTTTGTATCAAGAATTAGCGAATGTTTCAGAGTGTATAACACTTGGTGGAATTTTGCCGTTGATCACGTAATTAGTAAACAATGGCAGAGACGTTGCATGATATCAGTATAAAGTATTAGGTGGGCACGCTAGTAAATTTCGTGAGTGATTTTTAAATTCGCTGCTATTGGACGATGAAATTTGCTTGTCTGCCTCCAGCATAAGTCTCAAAAATACCTTAACCCTTTCAACCCTAGAGGCGGGTTTACCGGCCACACACTAACAAAAAATATATATCGAGCAGCCAGTAAACTGGCCGTTACTAAGTGACTTCATACAACGTTAATGCCATACTTTCATTACTGTTATATTACATTTACACTCAGGGTTCAAAGGGTTAAGTTGTCCAGAAACTACAGAAAGGCCACAATCAGGAAATTGTGGGGTGGCCAAAGCTTAGCTAAACAATTCCTGTTTCTGAGGCTAAGGTACAATTAATGGTAAATGTGCCCCTTTAAGGTTGCAATCTTGTGAATTCTATCAAAAATACTTTAACTGTCTAGAAAATCTTTTCCTGTAAAGTAGATTCAAATTGTTTTTAATTTGATGGAAACATCATGACGTGGATAGCAGAGACTTAAGTCTTCAAGATCCAGCCAGAAAATTATGAAATATCGAAATAACCATAAAATGAGATTAATTGAATTATTCTTCTTGAGTTGTTTTGATGACAATATGACCATACTTTGTAGAAATATTCTGTTTTCCAAGTGTTTTTAAGTGTTTGTGAATGGCTCTATACAAACTAATGATTTCATTAATGGCTTTTTACGACAACTTTTAGTGTTCTTTTTATCCTCTGAATTGCTTCTTATATTGATTAAGCTTCATATTGAATACAGGCATTTTTTCCCTAATAAATTCAAATGTTTAATCAAAGAAAAACATTTTTGACATTCAAAAATACTTGATAAAAGTTGAAAAAATGAGAAAATAAAATTTAATTTACTTTTGTGGGTATCAATAAATTTGAGTCTGAAATGTGGTCATTTGATGTTGCCAGGAAATAAATATTCAACAACATTTTAGAAGCAAGATAAAACTTGCCCGTTTGTGATTAGATATTGATATATGGTCGTGTAAAATTGACAGTAGCAAATGAAGTAGGATGATATTTATTGTGCTGAAGAATAACTTTATTTGATCTGTCAATATGGCTTCCACAGAATCACATTTATCATGTTTGGTTTCACACAAAAACTGAGATCATTATTACACATCCTCAGTTGCATATTTACAAGAAATATTTGACTGCATTCAAACCTATCAGTTTTTTTCAACAAAGTAATTTTCAACTTTATGCCAAGAAGATATTTTTATTCTCTGTTTGAGGTGTTATCTACTTTATTTCTATAATCAACCAATTTCTCTCGGCAACCCAAACATCACCTCAAATAGAGAATACGGCAAGAAATAAAAACATTGGTAAATTATCCTCGTCAGAAAGAAATTAAATCAATAGTCAAGCACCCGAGAGGATTCAATTTGATTGCCTTTTTCTCTTTTTTCTTCTTGTCGCCTTTCTGTGTTTTCATGCAGTGCTCAATTTTTTCCTCTTTGGAAATCCATCAATTTTGTATTTTTTCCCCTCATTCCTAAGGACTTTTTTGACATTCTCTAATGAAAATTTGTACAAATATTTATGAGGTAGAATTTTGCTTTTAGCAAATGAAGAATTGAAACACAAAGTTAAAGAAGGTCAATAGCTTTATTGAGAACTAATTTTTATCACCACATTGGCTACATGTAGCTCTAGGCTGAATTTAAGATCAAAATAAGTTTGCCTCGACTTTCTGGTTTCAATCTCAGTCCAGAGGTCAAACATATTTCAGTTTTCATAAGCCTGCTTTAAATTGCAATATCTATGTTAAATGTCTTTTTATCTGAAATGCAGGGTTTTCAACAAAAAACTTTTCTATTTAGACTGACATTACATCTATGACTCTATGAACATCGATGAAAATGGATTTTACAGGTTATTATTAAATTGCAGGAGAACTAATTAATCCTAATGTTTAAAAGTTTTTCTAAAATTCCTTAAAAAGTGTTGAAATTGGGGGGAAATCTTAAAAAAGATTTGATTTATTATGTCTAGCGTCTAGTCGTTCGGATGGGACAATAAAAAGAGGCCTCGTGTGCTACAGGCTGTGCACGTTAAAGATCTCTTGACAGTTGGAAATCGATAAAGAGCTGGCTAATGCCGCTGTCCTGGCAAAATTTCCCTCACTGCACCCGGGCGTTGCCCGTCTTCATTAGCCCACATAGTGCAGAAAAGTAGGACGTAAAACTCCATTCATTTCATTTCATTTCTGTATGTCGTCAACAGGAATGCTGTTTGGAATGGCCTAAGACGTAATTGTATGAAACCTCATTTTAACAATTATCTTAGGGGGTTGATGATCCTCACACCCCTGGCACATATGTTTTTTTCACTTTTCTTATGTACCAAGTGTTGGAAAGTATTCCATTTAGATGTCTGGAACTGCCCGATTTAGTTATGAAATTCTTAATTTTAGCCCTATTTAAGCCCTAAAATGATCTCAGAACAATGAGTGCTGGACAGCTTGTAAAATGTAACAAATCAAGACCGGTCATTTTCTGGTCCTTTTGGTTCTCTTGAGCAGAGTTACTACCCTTGTAATAAAACTATCGACAATCTATTTGATTTCTAGTTGGAATTATGGCGTCTGTTTACTGTAAGTTTGTGGCAAGCTATATTTCTGTTTCTCCTTCCCATACAATCACTTTCATTAACTACATGTCAATCAAAGAGTTAATTTACCTTTCTAGCTGAAGAGTTGCAAGGGAAGGGAGGTCATCATTGATTGGTGGAGTAAGAGGAAAAATTAGAGATTTAATTGGATGAACTTGATGCAACATTGATTTAATTTTCTTTCCACTGTCGAGTTTTCACTTTTTGATCAACTTCTTGATGGAATTTTTAATAGGAGGAAATTGGTTTCAGTTGCTTTTAGTTGTTGTTTGTTTTTATTCTGAGATGTTTAGAAAAAGATTTTGACACTATTTGGATTGGAAGAAGCTTTTCCCAAAAAATTCTTTCTCTGTTTTTTACCTTTTATACGCCAACATTCTAAAGTGGATGTCTAAAAGGCTGGGTATCGATTACCAAATTGATCTATTGATGGCAGGCTAGCGATCATAATCGATTAATAATCGAAATGAAATACTAAATTAAAAACATGCCCAAATTCTTAATTTCATTGATTATATTTAATAAGTATATTCTTGGTACGATCGGTTATTATATTTTATTATGAGTAAGTTATGTGCTGAAGGGAAACCATGTAGAAGAGATTACTACTTGTTAACAGGTACAATGGTGAAAAAGTAACTTTGACATATAACCGATTATGAAATTTGATAATTGATAATCGAAATTATAAATTCCTTATTACGATAATTGATCATTTTGATCATTTTACCCAGCCCTAGTTGTATATTGCAGTCCATTTGTCTCTTGGTCCGTCTGTCTACAATTGGCTTATGAACGCAATTAGGGTTTGTAAGATTTTTTGATTTTATGATATTTGGTGTGTAGATTTATAGATATAGGACCAGGAAAAGTCAATCTTTGGACTTCAGAGTTTTAAGATTCTTGGACAGTAGTAAAGGCATTTGGCTTATCATGTACAATCTGAATTAAACTCAGCACCAGGATTCCAAAATTGTGAGCATTGACAGTGAGACGAATGAAATTTAGTCACAGTAATTATTATACTGGAAATTAAAGGGAGATTCCGCTTTTTTTTAAAAAAAAATTTCATAATAAAAAGCGTCCTAAATTATACCTGAACATATTTTGATGTATTTAATTGATCAAACTGAATTTCTTTTAAAAAAATTCATTAAAAACTGAGAGTACTAATTGTTGATTAAGCAGTTTGACCTAGTTTTGGTGTTTGGCTTGATAATAGCTCAATGTTATTATAGTTGAAACCTCTAGAATACATTGAAGACATATTTCTCTACAATAAGTCATTTATTTTACTTCAATCGGTACAGTAGTTTTCCAACAGCTTCCATTACAAAGTATAACAAACTTTAAAAGTAACATATATACCGTTGCGAGTTGCGAGTTGCGGTAAAGCAGTCATTACCAAATAATGTCACATAATGTTAATATCGTGCACACTTGAAGTTATATTACATGTATTTGGGAGTTTAGGGTATAATATGTTTAATTTCATCTGGACACTCAGTGTTCAGATGGTTAAGTGCAGAATTCATTGCCCAAATCTGAATTTCTTATGATGTTGTGTTTTAAGTTTTGATTATATCTGAGTTAACTTTTTAAGAAATAAACCTCGTGCAAGACTAATAACTAGATGTTAGATCTTGAAGATTCATTTGAATGTAGCCTTTTTAATTTGAATTGGCTCATATTCAACTAAAGACATTTATGTGGTTAACATGCAATGACAAATAAAACAAACATTTTTCTCACAAAACATTTGATATTACTCAGTAAAGCTGGCTGTTAGACCATTTAAATGAACATTAATCTGATGGGATAATTTTAGTATTGTTCACGTGGATTAAGAGTTAAAAATGCTAGCAATAAGCTTTTGAAGAACATGCTAACAGATAAGATCCCTAGAGTTCATCTTACACTACGATTAACTCTCGAGTTAGTGTATCGTTACATCTTCAAAAACATTTAGTTATATGCCACCTACAATTTTCCATCAGTGAGTCCCAACAATAAATTATTTTGTTTCGTGACTAAGAAATTGTCAAGTAGAATATAAAGGCTTAGGGTATTATTACACAAGACCAATTGTTTGACATAAAGTTTATGTTTAGTTTTGATGTAAATTGCATCTAGATTAACTCATTGATAAGCAAGAGATTAGTTAAAGATCAGATGAGCTCTTCTGTGAAGAAGGTAAAATAATAGGCAAGTTATCTATTGCTGGCCATAAAAATTAACTTTATACATACATATATTGGATATTTATACTTATTGGTTAATGTAGTGTAAAAAAGAGGCGAACTCTATCTCAGCTTGTTTTGCGTTCCCAGTAATCAGAGATCTTAAACGTCAGTAGTCAGCCGTGAACAAATGATTTAATGGATATTTAAAAACTACTCAAATAACCCCATCTTCATTCAAATCAGAAAGGTGATTTTATATATTCGCTTAATTTACTATAAGTCTTAGAAAAACCTCCCTCTTCTACTTGATTAAATTGAATCCCCAGAGACTAAGGCTTGGCTAAATGTTCAATATAAAACTCTTTAATGTATTCACAAGTGGAGAAAACTTCTCCCGTTATTACCTTACATACAACGTTTCTCCATTAAACTAAGTCGCGAAAAAGTGGTTTGCTGTGGAGAAAATCAGATTGTCATTCAAATGGATCAATGATGACTTCACAATAGACCCTCAAGAGGAGATTACTTATTTCGCGGATAAATAGACGATTGCTCTTAAGCCAGCATAAATCAATTCTTCTCCAGCTATGATTGGATTACGTTTCTAAATTGCACGGATTCTATCAGCAATTACTCTGATTAGTAGCCCTGCCTTGGAATCTTGCCGACAATCGAGATACGTCTGTTTGTTTGCTTTCAGACGACTAAAACAAATCTTTTTCCAGTTTTCTTTCAGAGACACGATCTGGAGAAAACTCAATTAGATTTTCTCCATTTGAACGCAAATTGTGTCCATGTCAAAAAACATCTCTTTATGTTTCTCAAACTTTATTTCATCAGCTAAAAAACTGGCAACTGTCTGTCAGATGAAAAATAAATATTTTAATTAGTTTCATCAATATTAGTTTAGTTTTGAAGGGTAAAAATCATTTGACTAATTGAATTCACTAGACAATTCAATTTCTAACCAGTTATTCCCCAGTTCTGTTGAGATTTGCCACTCATTTGAACTTCTTATGGTTTATAAAAGTTTCAATTATAAACTGGAAATTTCTTTTTAAGATCTGTAAGGGGATTTGAGAGTTTTTGAAAAATCACCTTTGGGAAATAGGACATACGTGACAAATCTGATTGATTAAGGTCCTTTACTGAGTGTATAAATGTTAATTTGTATAGGTTTTTGAAAATTTTGAAAAAGTATATGACATATCCACAATTATTTGTAATTTCAATGTTTTTTTGTGCAATGTGCTTTTTATTTTGTCAAGAGTTAAATTTTTTTCATTTTTTTAATGATGCTTGAGACTCCAAAACTCCAAAACTCAAATCAACCCCTGAAAATGGTGCATCATGGCCTTTACAAACTCACTCAACCACTATTGTCTTGGATTCTGAACCAAGCTATGAAGACTGTGTTAATTGCACTTGTCAGGTTATTAAAGAAAGACTATCTCTCATCCATGATATGATAAGATATTATTGTCATGTTTCTCTCTCCCTCTGTATGACAAGCTATGATTGTGTTGTATGTCTTCAACCACTAACAACTGATGCATGATCTTATCTTATCTTTACACTACATTTCTTGTCAATGTTCTTCTTTTGTTTACAAACAAGATTTCTAAAACACTAAGATTAAAGGTATTATTGCCTACAATAATTCTTTTTTTAAGGATAGTGACGTTAAGTTCTCAGTTATATATAATAGAATAACATTCGCCAGCATCTGTTATGGAATAACATAGCCCAGCAGCATCAGTTATGGAGTAACATAGCCCAGCAGCATCAGTTATAGAATAACATAGCTCAGCAGCATCAGTTATGGAATAACATAGCCCAGCAACATCAGTTATATTATTACATATTCCCAGCAGCATCAGTTATGGAATAACATAGCTCAGCAGCAGCAGTTATGGAATAACATAGCCCAGCAGCATCAGTTATTGAATAACATAGCTCAGCAGCATCAGTTATGGAATAACATAGCCCAGCAGAATCACTTATGGAAATGCATAGCCCAGCAGCATCAGTTAATGAATTACATAGCCCAGCAGCATCAGTTAATGAATTACATAGCCCAGCAGCATCAGCTAATAAATTGCATAGCCCAGCAGCATCAGTTAATGAATTACATAGCCCAGCATCATCAATTATGGAATTAAATAGCCCAGCAGCATCAGTTATGGAATAACATAGCCCAGCAGCATCAATTATGTAAGCCCAGCAGAATCAGTCATGGAATTACATAGCCCAGCAGCATCAGTTATGAAATAACATAGCCTAGCAGCATCAGTTATGGAATTACATAGCCCAGCAACATCAGTTATGTTATTGCATATTCCCAGCAGCATCAGTTATGTAATTACATAGCCCAGCAGCATCAGTTATGGAATAACATAGCCCAGCAGCATAAGTTATGGAATAACTTTCCAACATTCTGACCAAAAAGATCCATATTTAAATCAAAACAAGAAAATGTTAAGACTAAGAATCTACCACCCTCCTAAATTACTTCCTTTCCCAAGACTTTATCCTACTTTCAAAGCTGTTGAATTTTTTTGTCAGTTAACTGAAGAGCCTTTTGTAGGCACTGGCTATGTCACAAGAATTTTTCTTGCTTGAAACTCTTCATGCAGACAACACTCTCACTTGCTACCGATTGGTCTATTGCAGTGCCTATGGAAAGGCAGCTTTCAAACTCAGTATTAAATATCCAACTGCAATGTCCAGATTTCTAGGCATTTCTTATTAAATCATCAATATTCTTGAACATGCCATCATGTTATGGCAAATTTGCTTCCTGAAAAAATCTAATTCTAAGAATTAGTCGTTAGTATGCAATTTTACATTGAGAAATAACACACTTATGATGAAATAGGTCACAAGATTTTTTGGTGAAACAGTACCCTTATCTTATGCAATAAATTGCTCATAAAACTTAATTTGACATCGTAGAATTTAATTTTTATTCTCTATCTTATCTTTTTCTAATACAAGCAACACGAGAAAATGTGAATATAAGATAATGTCAAGTATTGTATGGAGGTTCTACTAATCGTTTTCATGTTGATTGGTCAAGACGACACTGTCAATGACGGAGAAATATTCCATCTCCCCTGGGCTTCCAATCAGTTGATTACTCACCAAATGGAAGAATTATGAATACAGCATACAATATTAGCGCAAGATGAGACCGTTAATCAAATTGAGGAAGAAAACTCTAATCATAATTCCTGATCTCAACGCCAAGTCTCTATAGACCCAGAAAACAGATTTCAAGATGAAATTGTAGAACGGAATTCTGTCTTATCGAGATCATATTCACAAGACGACAGAAAAGAAAGAAAGATTGGGAATGAAATTGATCATTTGGCCAGCGAAATCCAATAAGTTATAACGTGGCTTTTGCAAGGATAGAGTTGTCGTGAGTGGTAGCGATACAAGAGATTTATCATTTGTTCCTATCTATTGAAATATGGCAGGCCGTTTTCTTCCATCAGCTCAAATGCATTCATGAGAAAAACAATTTAATCAAACATGGCAGGCTTTCCAGTGCCGAATATTTATTACCAATTGATGCCAATATTTGAGAAATGTCGCGGCAAACTTTCTGCTTCGGTCATTTATTCATCCTATTTAGATTAATGAATTTCCTGTTGCAAGTTATCTTAATGTACTTTATCTTCAAAAACTCGCTATGATTTTTTGCCTTAAAAAAAGTGGAATCATTGCAGCGTTGAAGTTTAAATGTAATCAAAAATGAAATTAACTGAATCTTCAATCTATAAATGTATTTTCTTCACACCATTAAACCAACAAGTTTTTTTCTGAGTTTCCAGTGTTTTTATGTGAAACTCATTATTTTGTTTTCCGTGCTGGACTCCAGTGAGTCTGCTCAAACTAATGTTTTATTAGTTCAATTTCTTAGATTTAAATCAGATTGTACCTTGTTTAAAGAGGGGAATGTGAATCTTAAAGGGAACGATTCAGATAGAAAAGGCACCTATTCATTCTGCACTAATGAACTTAAAGATGGTTTTCTTATTTTTTAGTGTCAAATTAAGCAAACTGTTTGATTAATTGGTGTTTCTAATGAATTATCATGTATTTTTAATTATATCATTATGTTCTTATTGAATATAATTAGAGTTTTAACCAATCATAAATGTCCAAGCATGTACAGTCTGGATAAACAACAAAAGACTTACTGACCTTTCTTGATTGGTCACTCATTGGAATTCTGCTGGTAAATTCTCTTCTAATTTAGCTAATTATGTATTAATTATGGACATGTGAGACAAACTGGTATTTTTCATTAGAGCACCTCTACTTTCTATTCATATAAGTATTAGTATTTTCATTTTCATAAATGAAAATAAGGGAAACATCTTTAAAAGAAGTTCCCAAATAATTTTAAGATAAGCATAATATGATCAGTTACTAACAAAATTTTAATTAGTGTAAAGTGGATATAAACACAAATATTGAGACTAATTAAGTGTTTTATTTACTACAATGCAGATTATAACATAGTATTTTATACAGTATTGATTATCTTTTCATGCCATTAAAATTTATAAAATTTCAGATATCACAGACTTCATACTGGAAATCGGAATAATTAAACTCATAAATGACCATGAATGCTTTAAGTTATTAATCTTTTTATTTCAGGTCCATCAGATCAACATGAATTTCAAGCTGAAACCAGGCAATTATTAGATATTGTGGCTAAATCACTTTATTCAGAAAAAGAGGTAAGAAATGTTTAAGTTTAAGTCATGCTTTGGATCAAAAGGCACCGGTTCCACAATTTATAAAGTATGTAATTATATAAGAGAGATGATGTGTGCTCAATTGAAAGAGATTCCTGTAGGCCTAATTCTGGCCTGTAGTTTTAAAAAAAGTTTGGAATAGTAGTTGGTCAATACTTGACCATTTCTTGTTGACCATTTCTTGTTGGATATTACAGTTTTCAAATTATATTATTTCTTCTAAATAACAGAATTAACAAATATACACTCTTTATCCATGATCTGAGAAATTCCTCTTTAAATTGTGTTCAGTTGAATTTGTCATGAAAGTTTCACAGTAGACTTATTAAGGCTCACTAATCAAACCTTTAGAAAATAGCCTGATTCACAATTGAAATTTTAACAATGAATATCATATAATATGATAGATAAAGCTTTCATTAAACAAAGCAATTGATTGGTTGAATATTTTAATGTCCCAAGAACTCAAAATTTATAGTCAAGATTGTCTGCTCAGTTGTATCTGAACATGTATAAAATTTAAACAATACCTCAAGTATGAATTTGATTGATTTATTAATCAGAGAACAAATAAATTAATCTTAAACGTCCAGTTAACTTTTGACTTGTGATTAAAACCAGTCTAGAGTCAGACATCATTGATTCGTATAGAGTAGCCCAATCTAGTAATAACGTGTGGTCTCTGGGGAATACATTTCAATCAAGCTAATTCTATCAATTCATATGCCTTGTTTTCATTCCAAATTTTTTTTCATTAATGTGAAATCTGATTTGTCTGATATGATTTTTTTCAGGTTTTTATCCGAGAGTTAATTTCCAACGCCAGCGATGCCCTGGAGAAATTACGTTATTTAGAATTAACAGGAGCAGATGTGCTGAATAGTGAAATTCCATTAGAAATTCACATCAGAACGGATGATGCTAAAAAAACCTTTACATTACAGGTCTGTCATACTGTGGACTTTCTCTCCAATCATTTTTCACCACTGTGACATGTTGGAAATTGGCAATTTTGATTAACGTACATATTATGAAGTTGTTATGGAAACACAATTTTATTTGAGAGATTTGATAAATTAGTTTGCAAAATAAATCAGATTGAAAAAATATTCAATTTACAATTTGTGATTAGGAATTTTTTCAAGCAATAATTGAACAATGTTTTTAAATATCCCATTTTTCCATACCAATTTATTATTTTTTTTTTAGGATACAGGTTTAGGATTGACTAGAGATGAGCTAGTAGAAAATTTGGGAACTATTGCTAAATCTGGCTCAAAGGTAGGACCTATGATGTTTTGTTAATGCTAAATATATAATTGAACACATTAAATGTTTCAAAACATTAGCACTACACCTGTTTCCACCCCTAGCTTAAAATCTTTAAAATACAGTTTTTTCAAGGTCTGTTTTTCACAAAAACTTTGTAAAGATAAAATCAGAACTTTATTGGTCAAAAAGTCAGTTTGAAAACATATTTCAGTGCTTGTATCACTTAGTAATTTATGATTAAAAAGAACAAATATATTTTGGAATGTTTTAATGTAAAGTCTTTAGAATTAATGCTAAACAATCTACATAACTAATGTACATCGACATAATGAAGTTTAGTATTTCAAGGGGAATAACTACAGTATGATGTGTTCTGATTTGAAAGCTCAGACTACAAAAGAGTTTTCAAGACACTTCAAGCATTTGATTATTTAATGACTTTTATCTTCTTCATTTCTTAGACTTTAAAAAAAGTTCAATGATTTAGACATTTAATTTTGGGATAACTAAAGGGTTACCTGTAGAAAGTGAGAAATTTTTAAAGTAATTCAGACTAACTGCACAGCATTGCTACTGGGGAACTAGTCCGAAACATCTACCTCTATTCCAACCTCTGATGGATATTTTGACAGTTGTCAGCTGGAGTAGAGTCAGAAGAAAAAGACTCTGTTAAATGGGGATTTTCCATACCTCCAAAGATGCGTTTTCTCTAACATAATATTGAATTACCTTTAAGATAATTGTAAATTAGTGTTGAGCATCATCGTAACTTTCGTTTTATTAGTATAATGTGACTCTATGACCTTTGAACTTTTGGCTGTGCACACAGTTTTAGATAGCCGATGCTAGATCAGTTTCGCAAAAAAAAAACTTTGATGGAACCAGAGACATGACATAAATGGTGTAGGGAGGAAATGATGGTATGACTGAACTACAAAAATATTCATCTTCCCAAATATACCTGGGTTTTCCAAATCTGAGGTATCTAAATAGGTTGAAAACCTACAGAGATGCGGAATGTCCCCATTTAACAGGGCTTATTATTTCTGTCTCTACAGATGACATCTGTCTAAATAGCTATCAGAGGCTGGAATAGAGATAGATGTTTTGGTGTACTGGGAAACTTGGGTTGTTTATGACATACCAAAGTTTCTAATTTGGTAATTTTGATGGGTATTTTGAATTTTGCAGGCATTTGTAGAACAGTTGAAGGGTAAAAATGATGTAGCTAGTTCTCTAATAGGACAGTTTGGTGTTGGTTTTTATTCTACGTTTATGGTAGGAGAAAAGGTTGAAGTTTATACCCAGTCTTATAAATCTGATGAACCAGCTTATAAATGGACGTCTGATGGGTGAGTATGATAACTGCTTTTGTCAAGAATGTGCTCTTACCTATGTTCAAATAGTATCTTTACTTATAATCAGAGGTCTGTGGCCCAATGGAAGAGTTTGAAATCGGTTTAAAAAATGTAGGATCAAAACTTTTGTATTGCACACTGTTGCCTTCTTTGAAAAGCTCAATCATTTGCAGTAATGTAAAAGGTAAAACTTCTTAAAATCTGATTGATCAAATTGTCACTGTAATAAGATGAACCTAATCAGAGTTTATATTATTGAACATATAGGATTACTTTAAAGGGACAGATTCACCATTTTCCTGAGTTGATTTGGGTCTTAATATATGTACTAGAAATGTACAAAAATCGCATAATTCCTGCAAAAACATCTTAAATTAGGAATTTCACATTCTATTTCTATAATATCTCTAGAAAAGACTATTTGTCATTTAAACTTTCAAACACGGATAATTCTGGACATACATGGATTTGAAGACTCAAATTTGGACGGTGAGCTGTGAACACTATTACTGATTAGCTTATCTAAATAATTCCAGTTTCTCAGACTAGGGTGTGATTGGTCAAATAACTACGACTCTGTTCCTTTAAAGTTATGATGTTTCTGACTACGGGCCTCTGTTATCTATCCCCACATGATTCTAATCATTCTGTTTATTAATATTAAAGAACTGGTTCTTATGAAATAAGTGAGGCTGAAGGTGTCCAGAGAGGAACTAAAATTGTGGTTCATTTAAAGGGAGATTGTTATGATTATTCTAAAGAAGATAAAATAAATGGTAGGTAATGTGTTTGTGATATTTAATAGTAGCAACATTTCCTTCTCAGAATCAAAATCAGACTTCTGGTTTGTATGCAGTTATGTAAAACACAGAGTGTCAGAAGTAAAGACAGTGTTGGATATTCTTTCATGCAGATATCACCAATAGTAATTGTTGAGAACTACACTGTTAATAATTATTCTTTAACACCAGACAAATTGGATTTTCACTCTGGAATAGTGTAATTAAGCTCTTATCAGCTGGGAAAGCAAATGCTCCGATAACAATACTTTTCCATTTAAGTGGATGTTTTTCCGTTCATTTTATTGTAACATTTTGATACTGGCTAATGTGTTATATGGAGTTTCAGATTATGAGATTTGAATCCAACTGAATTCAAAATCAGAGTTGCATTGTTTTTGCACATGACATGCAAATCACACTCTATCTCAGTTGCTAATGAATGATTGCCAATAGTAACACATGCAAATAATACAAAAGCTACAGATTTTGCTAAATATTGTGTTCTTTGTTCTCAGAAATTGTCAAGAAATACAGTAATTTTGTTGGTGTTCCAATATTTTTAAATGGAAAGAAGGCCAACATAGTGGAGGTAAGGTGACTTACTCCAGCAGACTTTCACAGGCCCACTGAGATTACAACCCACGACAACCATTTGTTCCAAGTAACCAAGCAAATTTAGTCTTAACTGCTAAATGCTTTAACTTCTGTGCTACAGAATCCTTCAATGATAATATGTCATAGCGATTATTCATAACAATTAGTTACTTTCCAGCAAGGAAATTTTTACAATCATCTGAAAAGAAATTTAGAGTGATACAATTGTAAAAATATTTGATTTATTAGTTCAAAGAGCTGAAATTCAGCTACAACTGTCCTATTTCCACAGACATTCTACTTGGCAGATATAGATATTGAGGTCTAACAATAAAATATAATTATATAGATGACTATTTTAAATTGCTCAACTGGTTTATAACTTGTTATTCTTCAGGCATTATGGATGAGAGAAGGTAGAGATATAACAGAAGAAATGCATGAAGAATTTTATCGTTTTATTGCCAATGCCTATGATAAACCTAGGTATCATATGCATTATAAAACTGATGCTCCCCTTAATATCAGAGCTTTATTTTATGTTCCTGAATACAAACCAAGTAAGTATTTTCTGTACTTGATGCAAACTATAGCATTAGCTATGTCTGTAAAATATAACTATTTATTTTAGCTATGTTTATTAACAAAACTATGTATTTTTAGCTCCATTTATCAACAAAACTACATATTTTAGCTATGTTTATAAGCTATAACTAATTATTTTAGCTATGTTTATCAACAAAACTATGTATTTTAGCTATGTCTGCATCCTATAACAATTTATTTTTGTAAACTATAACTATTTATTTTATATATGTCTATAAACAAAACTATTATTTCAGCTATGGTTATCAACAGAACTATTTATTTTAGCTATGATTATCAAAAAAAACTATATATTTTAGCTATTTTTATCAACAAAACTATACATTTTATATATAAAATATATAAATGAAACTATTTATTTTAATGGTTTATTTTAGCTATGTTTGACATGTCAAGAGATACTGAGAGCTCTGTAACATTATATAGTAGAAAAGTTATGATCACACCTAACGCCAGTACTATTTTACCAAAATGGCTGAGATTTGTCAAAGGTAAGTGCTATGATTTGAAAGATAAATCCTATTTTTAATACTGTAATATTTGTAGAGAACCATTAGTCTGTTCTGTTCACACTTTTCTGAAGGGGATGTATTTCATCTTGAAGCAAGGAATTTGTTAGAAGTAACCAGCTGAAATATTATTGAAGAGAGACAGTAAATATTTTGTATTTGGCTACTTATATTCTACTATTAATAGAATATAGTGAATTATCACTTAGAGAATTTACTTTCAATTCCTCTTCAAATGTGACAACCAAAATTTAAAATTTCTAATTTTTTGTTACATAGGAGTTGTTGATAGTGAGGATATACCTCTTAATCTAAGTCGTGAATTACTGCAAGATAGTGCTTTAATCAGGTAATTTTTAAATTTTAAAGTTTTGTTGTAGAGATCTGAAATATCAACTTTACAAGCCCATATTAAACACAACTCTGTCTGTTTACATGTTTCCAAGACCAGGTCACATGACTTCCTGTAGTCCGAAATGGCACGCTTTTAGGAGAATATATGCTTTTAGGGCATAATCCGATATGCTCTGATGATAACCTCATCAGGAGTTTTATTTGAGGTATACAACAGTTTGTTAGTGCTCAAACATACTGGAACTACAACAATCACAGTTACAATGTAAATAGAATAACAATATTCAATATCAGGGGGAAATGTTGGAAATTTATGTCTATTTAAAGTATCTTTATTTCTTGTTTTATTTAGAAAGCTACGTATTGTCCTAACTAATCGTGTCATCAAGTTTTTTATTGATCAAGCTAAGAAAGATAATGAGAAATTTATGAAGTTTTATGAAGATTATGGACTGTTTCTAAGAGAAGGTATTGTTACTACACATGAACAAGATCAAAGAGTAAGTATATGTTTATAGCTGACTTTGGTTATACACTACTCAGACATTAACTTTTAGGCATTAAATGGGAAGAGACGCGTTTGAAAATGCGCTGGGTCCAAAAATTTCTATTTTCAGTTGAGTTTCTAGTAACTGATTGTAATCTTTGTAAGAAGGAAGATTCTTTAAGTTTATGAATAGTTAAAAAGTCTCTATTACTTAGTGGCAGCAAACAAATTATATAACTTTTAGGCATTAAATGGGAAGAGACGCGTTTGAAAATGCGCTGGGTCCAAAAATTTCTATTTTCAGTTGAGTTTCTAGTAACTGATTGTAATCTTTGTAAGAAGGAAGATTCTTTAAGTTTATGAATAGTTAAAAAGTCTCTATTACTTAGTGGCAGCAAACAAATTATGGTTGTTAGATAGTCAAGACTACAATTTGCAAGTATGAAACAAGTCACATTGAAAGAGGCTACAACATGCCCCTTTGTATATTTTTATTTCTTTTATTTGCAGGAAGATATTGCAAAACTATTGAGATTTGAGTCATCTAATTTACCTGAAGGTCAGAGAACAACATTAAATGAATACGCTGGTAGAATGAAGGCTGGTGCCAGAAATATTTACTTTTTATCAGCACCAAGGTAGGTTTATCAGATATATATGAAAGAAATACTACCTCTTAGAATGATACATGACCTTGTACATATCTAATAAAACTAAAAAAAGAGTACAGCATCCCCTTCCTGGCGTCACACATTCTGGCTAACCTTGTATGCAGCTGGCAGATAAATTGGACTACTTTAATCCTCGATTGTAGACATCTGGCTAGTCTCTGACACCCAGACATCTCCTGTCTACGAGGATATAGTCTTCCTCCTAACAATTAAAGAAGATTTTCTTCCATCTGCATAGAAGTTTTTCGTCAGGCGTATCGAAAATGGCCGCCGTAAATACAATTGGCGCCACACCACATTCCAAACAACAGAATCCATGTAAATCTCATATCTGATGAATATCTACTCTTATTGTATTATACTCAACTTTGAGTATTTAAATTGTTAATTTTGAGGTGGTATACCTATAAAGCTATGTATTCTGATATTACATTCTCAGAAAATATATAGAAATATAACAACCAATTTGATAATGTACAAAAGACAAAATAATTAGAATATTTCTAAAATGGTTAATTTATATTATATTATCCATTTCTGACGCTGCCTGTATGTATCGTTGTTTTCGCCTCGCACTTATAATATTCTGGCCATTAATAACAACATAACACTACATCAATAATGAAATATATTCACTGTTACAATAGTTCTCAATACATCAATTGTAGAGCCATATAGAAATATTATAACAGAACTTGAATCATGTTGTTACTCAGAGTTTCATGCAAATTGTTTGAAGATTGCTCAGTGTGAAACTCTTAAGTAACAACATGATTCAAGTTTTGTTTGAATTTTAACTCAAAATCAATATGAATATACATCTATCTACAAATACAAACATAATCTACAAACAAAAATATACAAAAACAATGGTCCTCAAAACTGATACATATAATATAGGGGTTTTTGGGGTTTTCTAACTTTTTTTTATGTATATCAGATCCATTTATGGCTTTCTAACATCATTTTCATATTCTGTCAAATGTCTGTGGTTCCTGTAATTGTAGAAATGCTTAACCATTATGAAATCACTGTCAGACAAAGTTGATAATGATATCTAAAGGCATTTGTAATAGCTATGTCATAAAACCGGTAGTTTTAGAGGGATTGCGAGACCCACAGACATCTGACTTGATTGTTGCAAATCAATGCTATCAGCATAGCTTGAAAATATGGAAATGGAAATGACAGATAAAATCAATCCAAGCAACTGCCGTTTTTTTGAAGATTTTTCTTGTCTAGAGACCTTAAAACCTTGCTCGATTGGTGATTTCTGCATGTTCATGGAATCAGCAGAACGGTCAATAAGTTGGATCACAGATTAGAATGCGTTCCACATTTGCTGAAGAAAAAGTAGGTGTAGACAGAATTCAAAATTGATTGCGAAGTAGGCAATTTTGGATGGGACATATTCCGCTTCTGTTCGATTGAGGGAAGAAATAGAACTGACCGAACCTGTTCAGAACTCTCTGATTGAGCGCCACTCCAGAGATTACTTACAGAATGGAACCTACAGAGTATTTCTGTGATTAAGATTGTCATGGTTATTACTGAAACAGGTAAGACTTCTGCTATATTTTTTCTGTTTTTCGTTTCCATAGATATAGAAACTTACAGACTACAGACTTAAATTATTTAGATTCTTCTATTTACACCATTCCAATTTCTGGTAAAACGCAATAGAAATTCCCTTTTTCAGTTATTATTTGATTGTATATCAACGTAGTGCTAGTGATATGTTATTCCTCCTCCTTGAGTTTTTCTGCTTTCTATTTTAACTACTTTTCAGTCAATAACTTTGTATTTCGAAGTTGGCCTTTCAATACTAAAGAAAATGTGTGTGGTCTGAGTCCAAATATCCGATCAAGTTCTATTTGGAATTTCAGACATACAGTATTTTGGAATGGTGGAAATAGAAGAGTCCCAGACCCCAGAATACCTTTTTGCAGTCTAGCATGAATGACGAAATATCTCAATTTATATTGTCAGACGCATGGCACCAAGCAGGGAGAAATTCTGACATGTTTTTTAGGCATTTAGGCAACATTGCGGTCAAGTAAGACACAGGCACAGGCATGTTGTCATAACCTCTAGTGAGAGTTAGTTTGAATAATATAATTTGAATAAATGAAATGAAAATCCATAATCTTCAGAATCTAAAATAAATAAAAAAAAAAAACAGATTTGTGTTTTTTGGTAAGGCCAAAAGACCAACTAATCTGACATATTATATAATATTTGTGGTTCATTTCACATTGACTCATAAGGTCAGATTCTGTGATGTGTAAAGAACTTTTTGTGCTAGGTATGAAAATGGGCTATAAAGATGATTGGTTTCCATGGCAACCAATGGTCTGCAACTTGTCATTCTTTAATCTTTATCAGATGTTAAATATTAAACTGATAAACTGTGTAGGTATAGTGGTCTGAGAGCAAACACTGGACTGACTCTGGGAAGCACTGGCAAAGACATCAAAATATTTTTTACCTTAAGGAGGATTCTATTCCATGGCACCTAATCGCCTAGCAGACGACAATCTGAATCGCTATTGACTTAGCTATTGTAGGATTATAGCTTTTAGGATAGTTAGGTAGAAGTTTTCAATTTTTTTTGTAAAGAAAGGACAAAGATCTTTAAGTTAGATTTAAATTTTATTATTAATATTAGGGACATAATCTAATAGCTGTAAATTATAGTTCATAATTATTGATATGCAAGTATACATGTATATAAGCTTATGTGTATTAGCTTCAAAATTTTGTTTTTTTTGTTTTTTTTTGCAAGTGACTCCAATTTTCATTCATAATCTTACGAAATTGTTTTGCACCTCATGTTCTGAGTCATTTGATATTCAATCAATGTCTATATGTATGTACTGGTACTATGATTTAATGTAGAATTTCTATAATTTTATTAGTTGCATAAAACTTTCAACCAATCAACTGTTTGTCTTTGGTATTTAGAAGAAACCGTTTTGATTTGGTTTTTGTCTAATGTGAGTTGTGTACAGAGAGTTGGTGCCCTTTGAATTGTTTTAATATATTACTAAACCATCATTCTTATTTTAAACTGATTGTAGAATCTTTTTTCCCTTCCAATAAACTTGATATTTGTATTTTCAGGTTTAAGATGGAAACAGGAAGAGATTCACTGCCAGAGGGGGAGATCTTACATGAAAGTATAAAGTCTATCAATTCTGAAACCGACATTGCCAGGAAGTGTTTAAAACTTAAAGAACATCAAGATGGGACACCTCATGTATTGCTAAAGATAAACAAACCTATGACAATAAATCAAACTTGTTCAGTACACCAGGGAAAAAAACCTCCAACTGGTAAATTTCAAACATTAATATTTTCAAACATGTAAAGTTAAGCTCTTGTTTATCTTCACAATGCCACTCTATAACAAACTGTCAAGCTCTCAAGAGATAAACAATTTGGTTGCATGTGTAATCGAGAGTTTTGATTGGCTGTAGTGGTTAGCATACAATCTTATCAAATCACAGCATTTACAAACTTCTGTAATACAATAAAGTGCTTAATGATGGCAATGAAATAGGTTGACATTTTGAAAATGGAGCTTGTGGTGGTAGAAAGTGGGTTCATGTCCATCTTGATTCAACATGGCTTGTTTGAGTTTTGGTGTTATCCAAGAAGCTGATAATCTTGTAAGCTTAAGCTTTGATAAGAGTTATATGTTGAAGACTTGCATGGATCCATCACTTATAGAACAATAAGTTGTCACAAAGATGAGTTTGACAAAGTCTGTTTCTTCATTTTGGCTGATTTTTTTGGTCGGGCATGAATTGATCTGATTGAATCTCAAGATGTTGGCCTAAGTGATATAGGTTGTTGTGCATGGAGCAGATCATGCTTACTCTTTTCGAAACACCTCTACTAAGTCGCTAGCAATTATTGTTTGTTTATATCAATATATATTCAGCTGAATTGTATTATATTATTACAGGGAATAAACAAGATATTGATGCCAAGAAAGTGTCTAATGCTGTATCCAAGGGTGATTTCAAACCTATTGTTTTATCATCTGGTAAACCAACATTTATTACATTTGATTTGGAGACTACTGACTTTAGTAAGTTATTTATTGTATTTATTGAAGTATATCATATTACTCAAACTTGGCAGCCACTTACTAATGTGTTTTTGATATTTTTCTGTCCAACTTCTGATTTTTTATCCACATGTAAATGCATTAAATTTTTGTGATCACAGTTTTTTTTTTTGATTTTGAGGCATACTTAATTTGAACTTTTTTCTGTCTTTTTTTTTTCAGTACGAGGAGATCGATTTCCACATATAACACAAATTGCTGCTAGTGAAATAGAGTCTAATGAATCATTTTCTACCTATGTTCTACCTGAATTGCCAATGTCACAAGGAGCTCAATATGTCACTGGTGTCACAGTAACTGACACTGGCATTATGAAAGTCAAAGGCAAAGAAGTGAATAAAATCTCCATTAAAATTGCTATCCAGAAGCTTTGTGAATGGCTGGATAATTTTCCTAATGTTGTGTTAGTGGCTCATAATGGAAGAAGGTTTGATTTTCCAGTGATGTTTTCAGCTCTTGTTGGTACGAACACTGCTGACCTTTTTCATAACAGTGTTATAGGATTAATTGATTCTCTGCCAGTATTTAGGAAACAGTTTCCTGGATCATCTTCTCATAAACAAGTACATCTGGTGCGCTCCTTACTAAAGATAAGCTATAATGCACATAATGCAATTTCTGATGTGGAATCCTTGGGAAAACTTGTAAAATTTACCAAGCTATCCCCTGAAGAGCTTCTATTGAACAGTTTTTCTCCTCGTGCAGTCCATGATGACTTTAATCTTAAAAGAGAGAAACAGCTCAAAATCTAATTCATAGACCTTATTCATGCATCAACCATTTTGAATTGATTAATACCTTAAAGGGACAGATCTGCCATTTTCTGAGGTCAATCATATTTTTGTCTCATAAACGGCCAATTGTTAATCTAAGCTAATCTGTAATAGTATTCACAGCTCACTGTCGAAATTAGAACCTTCAGATCCATTAAAAAGACTAGTTTCTTTTCCATGATTTCCATTTTGAAGATCGGTTAATGACGTCACATGTATGTATACAGTAGACTCTATCAATTTGTCACACTATGTCTACACACAGCTACAGATACTCCAATTTTCAGAGAGAAACAGATTGTGAACGAAAAAAATATGTGCTTTACATATATTCAAGGCCCAAATCAACCCCTGAAAATGGCAAACTATCCATTGAACATGAATAGTTTACCTAACTTTTTGGTAGTTTTAGTAGTAATGAACACAATACATGTCTGGCTTATATAGTGTCCATTACTATTTATCTTAAAAGTATAATTGACAGTTTGGGTTAATATTTTGAATGAGACTCAGATATGCAAGTTGTTTGCACAGCTGTACAAGATGCTTGTTATATTAGATTCAATTGATTTTTTTATAAGATTTTATATTTTTGTACTGATTTTTTCTGTATTTGTTGTTTGTGAAATGTACATGTTTATTTCCTTCAATAGTGTTTAACACAAAAACTTTCATATACTTGAAATATGGCACTTTTATTACACATGAAATGGGGGGGCGTATATTGCCATCACCCATTTCCGTCCGTGCACAATTGCTCGTAAACACTCTAGAAGGCACAATTCTTGACTCTTTTGAAGTTTGTTATCAACCATGGATGAACCCTATCAAAAATAAGAAGGATTGGAAAATAACTCATATTTTGACGAATTGTTACTGTACTGCCAAATATTTTTATTTACAATCAAAGCTGCCAATGGGCGTTTATTATCTTGCCTGCCAAGCTAAGTGTAATATTGTGGTTTGCTGGAAATACAGGATTCATCACAAAGGTACTGTTGATTATTTTGTGTTCAAATAGTGTTCAACACAATAATTTGATTAGTATGAATTACAGCATTTTAAACAAATATTGTTAAGTTTATTTTTATTTCGTTGAACACAAAAAAGTTTTGATATGCTGTAATTGGATCATTTTAAACAAAAATGCTGTTTATGTAACTATAATATTGTTCAACACAAAAACTTTCGATATGTTGGAATTTTAGCATTTAAAATATAAGTACATTTATTTTGTGTGCAACACATATACAAATACAGTTAACATAATAACTGTTGTTTTTTTTATTATGTTAGTGTTTTACACACAGCAGCATTTGGAAATAATGGAATTATTACATTTATAACATAAATACTGTTTATTTTGATACTTTGTTTAATGTATTTTTCTGAATAAAATAATAAAAATGGATTAGCTCTCTTTAGCTGCTGAGCCAAGTCTACAATCTGTTTTTGGGATGTAGGTCCCTTTTTCTTGCCTTTACTGATAACAGTAACACAAAAGGAGATTTGTATGTGTAACAGGGACACTGATATTTTCTGTAGAAATCATGCAGACATCAATGGTGCCTGATTACTACATCTAATTACACATCATCACTATGTCAAACTTATTAGAGCTTCTTATACCTTGACTGCCATAGCCACCTTTCTTGTATCATGGAAGTTTGTTAATGCAGTGATTTGCTTGGATTAGATGTAACGTCGTAATTAGTGATTATAGATTTACAGCACCTCGAGTAGTAACAATAGTGATTATAGATTTATAGCATCTCGAGTAGTAACAATAGTGATTATAGATTTACAGCATCTCCAGTAGTAACAATAGTGATTATAGATTTACAGCATCTCCAGTAGTAACAATAGTGATTATAGATTTACAGCATCTCCAGTAGTAACAATAGTGATTATAGATTTACAGCATCTCCAGTAGTAACAATAGTGATTATAGATTTACAGCATCTCCAGTAGTAACAATAGTGATTATAGATTTACAGCATCTCCAGTAGTAACAATAGTGATTATAGATTTACAGCACTTCGAGTAGTAACAATAGTGATTATAGATTTACAGCACCTCGAGTAGTAACAATAGTGCTTATAGATTTACAGCACCTCGAGTAGTAACAATAGTGCTTATAGATTTACAGCACCTCGAGTAGTAACAATAGTGCTTATAGATTTACAGCACCTCGAGTAGTAACAATAGTGCTTATAGATTTACAGCACCTCGAGTAGTAACAATAGTGATTATAGATTTACAGCACCTCGAGTAGTAACAATAGTGCTTATAGATTTACAGCACCTCGAGTAGTAACAATAGTGATTATAGATTTACAGCACCTCGAGTAGTAACAATAGTGCTTATAGATTTTCAGTTGTGCAGAGCGAAGTGAAGTGAAACAGAGCGGTACTCTAAAGCACTATTACCTCTAATAAGCCATAAAGCAGTTAACAGTCTTTCTATCAAGGGCTATGGTTCAATGTTTTCAGTAGCATACAAAACAATCAAATCATTGCATTTTCGATATTAGAAAAATGGCTATTGCAGTCATGGTATAAGAAGGAGTTCATAATAGCTTGACATTGTGAAGATGTAGTCATCTTAAAGGTAACACAAAAAATGGAAATGGTGTAAATAAAAGCTATAAGTGTCATTGTTACATATAGAAAAGAAAACCTTGTTTGAATCCCTGTTATAAATACAAATCCATTTTCAGCCGTCACCTGGCAGAAACATCACCATATTATGAGGCATTAAAGAAGAAAGATATAGAAGTATTATTTTTGTATGAACCCTATGATGAACTGGTATTAATGAACCTGGGACAATTTGATAAGAAAAATTTAAAATCAGTAGAAAACGAATTAGCTGATGATAAGGAAGATACCAATACAGTTAATGAAAATGGTAACTAATGATTTTCTTTTGAATATTACTTATAACATATATCATGGGTAGAAGCATCTTTACAATATCAAGGTATTACAAACTCTGTCTAACACTTTGACATCATGGGGCACTTTTCTTGTATCACAGATAGCAGGGATTTGATTGGATTGTTTTCCACCTTATGCAGCCAATAAGAAAACCTCGAAGCAATATTGTTTACAGTCATCCTGGCAAGGGTTCTAATTGGCTGTATTCACTAGCGTACAATCCAATGAAATGGCTCCATTTTCAAATTTCTGTGAATAAGAAAAGTAGGTTATGATGTCGATATTAGACATATTTTAAATGCCTTAACATTGTTAAGGTGATATACAGGTAGAAGCTTCCATAATTTGTCTTATTAATTCAATTCCAGGTGAAGGAATAAGAAGTTAAACTAATATTATTTCACTTTGTTATATTGTTGAACTATTGCTCATACATGTATATTTCTATTTTAGATAAAGAAAGTTTGGTACAATCTGAAGCTGATTCGTTAATACAATGGTTAGAAACAGTTTTAACTAACAAAGTTAATAAAATTAAGGTATATTAAAGTTCATTCCAATTTTCTCTGTCCATGTCTTTGAATCTTCCTGTTGGAGAATATTTGCATATGAGAGGAAGCCGTGCCGAGATGATTTGGATCACAAAAAAATCATAAGAAGCTGTGGTGGTTCTGTGAATTGTTAACCCATCAGACGTCTAAAGTCAATTTTCTCTTTAAACAGTTAAAGAGGTGTGGGTGGGATGGAAAGAGATGTTCTAACTTTTTTATTGTCATTGGGGTCATTTATAGCTTCTATTTACACCGTTCTAATTTCCATTCGATGTCTGTAGTTCCTGTAATTATAAAATTTGCCTTGCCGTATATGACATCACTTTCATAAAAACTGCTAAGTATATGAGCTGCTTTTCTGGCAGAATTATAATTTTAACTGCATGCATGTTGTACAATTGAGTTCCAGTAACTTTTAAATCAAGTTACCATCTTGCTGTTTCAGGTAACCAAGAGATTGGTAACACATCCGTGTATAGTAACAGTATCAGAAATGGGAGCTGCTCGTCATTTTCTACGTACAACACTAGCTGAGAAATCACAAGAAGATAGATTACGATTATTACAACCTACATTGGAACTTAATCCCAGGTATAATTCTTAAATACCATATATTCTGTCATTTTGGTATTGAAGTAAAGTAAGAAATGTCTTTATTGATCAAGGATGAGAAAAACTTCTTGGCCATTGTCTTTCCAATCTGTATCTATTTACAACTAAATTTTAATGAAAATTCTAATAAAGAGACAGGGCCTTTTTGCAGGGTTTATTTTAATCTTGAATATATTATGTAAATAGTCTTCAGAGGCACTAGAAATGTACAAAAAACACATAATTCGGTTAAAAATACTTCAAACTTGGAATATATGCTCACTTTTCTTATATATGTCTTTTATATATATCACAGAGTATCTTAATTGAAGGGTCGTCATTTTAACATTCAATCGCGACATACATGGATTTGAACTCTCAAATTTCGACAGTGAGCTGTGAATACTATTACTGATTGACTTAGCTAAAATATTCACGTTTCTGAGACTAAAGTATGATTATTTCAAAGATCATAATGTCTGATTGGTGGAAAAAATTGTGCATCTGTCTCTTTAAGAATGATATTGTTATTTTGATGTTATAAACCCTGATTCACAAAATAGTAACATTGGGTACCAGCAAACATCACAAAGGGTACCTGGAAGGCCACTTGGACAAATTGAATAATAGTGTGGTCAATTCAGGTCCTTTTGGTGACTTTCAGTTTGTCTATGGTTGGTGAGGGGGTACCAGGCGCTTCTAAATGTTGAAAACAGTCCACAAGGCTGGGAACCAGGCCACATATTCTCAAAACGATTTTGGCGCTAGGATGTCCTAGGTTCTTATCTTCTAACATTGATTCTAGGACATCCTAGCGCTAAGATCTTTCGAGAGGGTTATAAAGAATGCAATATTATAAATTTCAGTCATCCTCTGATAAAAAAGATGTTTGCATTAAAACAAGATAACCCAGAGTTAGCAGGCCTATTAGCTGAACAGGTGAGTTATCAATATCGTATTTTCATTCAACTGTTAATCAATCAATGAGTAATATTTGATTTATTCATTGATTGGTTCATTCTTTTATTCCTTTGTCTTAAAAATATTGATAATTCAGCCTTATTATTCATTCATTCTTTTTATTCATTGATTTGTTGCTCTTTAGTTAGATATTAATGAAACATCAGTATGTTAGTTATTTCATTGTCTTATCTATTGTATATCTCTTGTCTCTCATATTCATGGTTTGACATAACGCCTAAGAATTGTTCAACCCAGTTGCCCCCTGTCAGTGGTGCAGGTTGGAGCTGCTGACATAGAAAAAGAGTCTCCTCGTTCGAATCTTATAATAAATCAAGGCCCTGTAGACTGCATTGTGTGCACATTAAAGAGTTACTGTCCTGACAAAATTTGCCAAATTGCACACTGCATGGCATTTGCCTGTTCTCATTAACACAAACATTTTGAGAAAAGAAGAACATTAAAATCCATTTCATTGCATTTCTTATATCCAGTGTGTCTGCTCTTGATTGCTAGACATTTTTGTGCTAACTCTTGGTAAATATATTTATGTATGCCCTGTAATTTTCAACAAAACTTGTTTGTGTTTATATGAACGTGAAATAATTACAGATATTTTCTAGCTGCAGCCAGACATGACTGGATGACAACATCATCTGTTATTATTTAACTCAATCTTAAGAGTTGGGTTGTTAATTTTTGTGGATCTGAAAAATTTCCACTCAAAGAATTTTAACATACATTTTTTGTTTCTGCTTCTAACTATGGGCCATTTTCAGCAAGTCAGCAAATTCCATGCCGGCAATATAATAGATTGAGAGAGAGTAGCCTAGAGATATCAGTAGAAAATCAATAGAGTTAATTAAGTGTGTGGTAAGAATAGTGGTCTGAGTCTAAACGTGCAGACGACAGTCTATATTTAGTGATGTTAATGTAGGAGGAATTGCTTTATTGATTCAAATTTTCTCATTATTAGTTGTTATTATTATACAAACATTTTAATAGAAAACACTACGATAGGTTCAAATCTGTTTTGATAATAGAATTATATGAACTGTGTAATTTTCCTGCTATGTATAGTATTTCACACAAAGAAACCGTTTTTTACGCCAAGGTTAACAAGTTGGGTTCACGATGATCTTTACCATATACCAGCTGGTTGTTGACCGAGCCTCTTGGCATTTGTCTTTCCTGAATAATCCAACACATTTAGAACAGGGTTGACGGGAATAATGCGGAATTATGACTTATTCAAGGTCACCAGACTTTCACAAGCTGACTGAAAAAAAAACCAAGACCAAATTTTGTTGCCAACCAAGCAAATTATGAAACCCCTTAAATTGTTTGATCTTGTAAATTTATTAATTATTTTTTATTTTTGACTAAATCACAAAATAGCCCTTACCATTGCTTATTATGATTATCCTTACTGAAAAAAAATGTGTATAATGTTAAACTGGGCTTGATTTTGTAAGAGGAATATAAAAGAAAAACGATTAAACAGTCAAGGACATTACAATATGCATACACTCACAGTAACAGCAGGACAAAATTATTGCTTGTATTCATTCACTGTTGATTTTTAAAAGATTTAAAGAGAATTTCGTAAGTATTGTTGTAATTTTCTGTGGTAAGGATAACTGTGTTTAATACTGATGTTGTAAGAATGTATTGTTGTAAGATTAGTATTGATCTAGTAGAATGATGTAGTAGGTGGTACTATTGATTGGATTTTACTAGATACGGTACTGCTGTTTAAAACTGATTAGAACTGCTTGGTACTACCAAGATAGAATGGTTAACTAGTAACTAATCTACTGTCCACACATATTAAGATAATCTTATGGTCAGGTTTAAACACCATCTTGGTCAAAAACAAAGTAACTTGATATAGTTGAAGTCTTGCGACTTTTTTATTGAAACATGCATGACAATGACTTCGTAAATGCTTAAAAAACCATGCATAAGCCATTTGCTTATTATACACCAACATTATAATATTTCTGAAAATGGAAATTTACTTTGTCACTTCATTTCATGAAAAGGGATTAAATTTTGTATAAATGACTAGCTTTGTTGTCTCTTCACAAAGATGCAAATCATTTACTAGAAAATTACGAACTTCCAGATAACGAGCCGAATCAGGCTAGCAGATCTAAGGAGAATTCACCTTTCATCGTGCTCTTATCATGGTCTCCGTTCACATGATGGATTACTAATGTTTGACACAAATATAGTATCATATGAATATGAAAGTCAGAAATTTCATGTTAGTCATCTGGAACAATGTAAAATTTTCGGCCATATGATTAAAGTGTTCAGACCTTCATTTACCCATGACTTCTGCTTTTAAGAAAACAAAACGTTGCTGACCGGCTAGTTAAGCTATCACTTATTATATTCTTAGCTATATTATTGATTATTTCCGATCTTACAATAGCACTGGTGCTAGACATGTTGATCGTTTTCCTCTCTCAGCAATTCTTGGCACTAATATTGATTCATTAGAGAAATCTGAATGTCTTGAAGTCTTACCAGTCCCTAGAGCTTCCAGTTATTTATATAGTTTAATATCTCACCATATGGTGGTCAATTGCCAGCTTAGTTTTCAATTTAAACTTCTTAATTTATCAGCATTCTGTTTCCAAGATTGTAGGATTATTAAAATTGTTGATTAAGATAACAATTGGAAGACATTTATAGAAGATTAAGTTGATATCCTTCTTATATAAAATATACTTAATGACCTTAAAGTTGCAGTCCCATGAGAAATTTACTAATTCTGATTTTGATTCAATAATGGTTTATCAAGGTGAAATATGTAGAAAATTAAGAAAAAAAGGAGGTACAACAAAGCAAGTACAAGTACTCCTAGGGCCTACTTTGTAATGCTTTTAATGTATTATTGTTAGTTGATTTGAGATTTAGGAATGACTTAGATACTGAAATATAAACTATTTTAATAAAAATAATGTACTATTAGCACTAGTTTCAAGATTCACTGTATTAAGTTTTTGAAGCCTTATGAGAATAGAGAAATTGAGAAATTTAAGAATAGAAGTACTTTGTGCAGTAAGAAAGCTGGTAGTTAGTTTGTTGTCTGAAGGACGAAATATTCCTGATGCCACAAGCAGTGGTGTTCACACACAATCAGTTCTTCAACATTAAACTATTCATCTGAAAGTCCTCAACTCCTATATGGTGGTAGTATTTGTGTATTTTCATGTTAAAAGGCAATATAATAATAATAAAAGTGATACACCTAGATGTATATTTAGATGTCAATAATACCTGTACAGTATAAATTATTTACATACCTAGATTTAAATCAATATACATTATTATGCAATCTCAACATATATTTTCACACTTTTATTTACATTACTATTATTTACATTACTGTTATTTACATTTCTCTTATTTATATTAAACAGTACTAAATCCGGTTTCTTTTATACTATATTATGATAACAGTTACTAGTATGGCATGCTGACCTTTTAAATGTTTATCAAGGTCACCTCGAAAGATCCTTTCCTTTTGTTATGAATTTAGAAGATGGTGTTACAATTTTTATGGATGCATGTCTCAAATATTTTGATACTACATTTACTATCTAAACTGTATACCTACCATCATTTGGATACAGTGGCAGTGCCAGTCTGCTGAGACTGGGGAAACAAATGGGGACAGACTGACTCAATGGGGAGACAACTGTCGAGGCTGAATTCAAATTGCAGCAATTCTGTGGAAGTGTCTTGTCACAAGCCTCTATTTGAAAAATTGAATTGATTTAGAGTAATAGACACATATTTTGGGTCAAAAACATATAAAAATCATTTGTCGAAAAAAAAGTACCGATATGTGGGCACAAACCATTTTTCTAGGGAGGGAAAATGACCAGCCCCCCTCCTGTACCTCCACTGACACCACCACTGTTTGGGTAAAAACTATTAATTTTATTGCTCAGCATTAAAATCTGTAAGCAAATCATAAAGAAGCATCTAGTCAGTCAGATGGAATATTAATCAGAGTTGTGCACATGAAAGCTAATGCTGCTGTCTTAGCAATATTTCCCTCATTGCATACTGCATGGAGTTGTCCTCATTAGCCCAAACAGGTGTGGAAAGATTTCTTTTCTAATGTAAGGGAAACTGTCTGTCTGCTGTACTTCACTCATCAAATTTAAATAGCAGTTTGATGTGTGTTAATGTTTAAAAAGCATGATAAAAGGCCAGTAATATTCTTGCATCATTGTTAAGATTGGTTTGACGGAATGTATTGATCATTGAAGAAATGCTGTCATTATCTAGAAATTTGTGTTCAAATTATTATATCACTTCAAGACTATCTGATAATTATCGTTTCCAATGATAATTTGAATAATTATCGTTAGACTTTAGAGTGAAAATCTTCTGCGCACACTCAAAATCCTCAAAGAGTTTAGATTGGAAAGGAGGAGAATTGGTATCCTTCATCATTGTAGAGTTTATAAAGAAATAGAAATATAGAAATACATGTTTCAGTTTCTAGTTTGATATTTCTTACATTTCTTATATCATTATGTGGTTTATATCATTTTGTATAAAGAATGTGTATATGTGACAGTGTTAACAGTAAACACAAATGAAAATAGTTAAAACAAATTTAAATGTGTAATACAAGAAGCTCATTTTCATAATCAGAAATAGTTATAAAGTTTTGTATAGTCATTTCAAGTTATAATTCAACTTAGTCATTAAGTTACAACATTCGGTTTAGGTTTTGAATATTATTAAAGTTACTGTAGCTAACTATAGTCTAATATTTAGATGTAGTTTAATGTTATTCAAGTGAGTATAATGTAATTATCATAAAAAATATATTTGATTGTTGCTATTTCCTGATGTATAGGTTGGACCCCCTACTAGAGTTACTGTTATTTATCACATAAGATGATATTCAACTTTAATCTCTGTAAAAACTCTGGTATCACATAACATTACACTGTGAATACAACCACTCTTTATATTTATATCAAAACTTTAAAAGGCTACTTTTCAATAGATCTTTGTGTATACCAACCTCTTATTTACTTTTGTGTGTTTGTTTTATATGAGCTCATCTACATAGATAACTTGTGCAAGTTTCATAAATAAGGACATGCTAACTCTCTAAGAACACATTAGGTCACTGTG